AAAATCTTTAAAAAAAAAAAAAAAAGAAAAGAAAACATCAAGGAAGTAGAAAAATAAGAAACTTGGCCTTGGGGTCCTTTGAAGCTATTTTAAAAAGTAAAATGTTATGTTAAGAGCTATGTGGTGTATCTCTGTATATGTGTAATTATTATTCCATTGATTTATTGCACACATGTCAAAAAGCGTCTGGGCATTTGTACAAGTTAAAACAAACCAATCCAGGAGCCAAGCCACATAGCCACAAACCCAGACAACTTGCCTCCCACCCCTCGTCCCACCCTTCATCCTACTACCTCCTAAACGCAAATCTCCTGGTAGCAAAAGCATTCCTTGCACAGATGAACCTTTAAGCCAGTGGCATCTGTCCTTTATACCATATTCTAAGAGTAGCCAAAACCCAGTTGATGGTACAGATTTTCCAGATAAACCAGCATGCTCTTCCCATTCTAGGGACAGCCCTCCAGTTTTGGCAAGAGCTTTCAGGAATGACTCAGGAATCTAACTGGAAGGAACTATCACTTATAACCTCCTCCAGAATGAGCACCGTATCTTTCATATCAGTGTAAACTCAGGTCTTTCACTGTAGGGGATGACAAAACATAACGTATCTCATTCACTGACTCATCCACTAACCCATCACATGTTAGGTAGGGAGACTCTTATTTCTGTCTGTTTCTCGAAGTGGGAAAATCACTTTAATGTTCTTTACTGCTGCCAAAAATCCTTTGCTTATGATCCAACAATGAGAGCTAATTTCAACCTCAATTGCTTCCCCTAAGAGATGGACATCATTAGGTAACATTCTCCATTTCCATTTACAAAGATTTTAAAAGAAGAAAAAAAGGCAAAAGAAATTGCCTTGGATGTTTCCAGCTGATAAAATCATTAATCTCCCACTCCCAACTTCAAAGCAGGAAACTAGAAAATCATCTCACTTTCTCTGCACACACAGAATAACTTTTTCTACTTCAAAGCACCATCTCTTTATTGGGTCATTTTAATTATTGAACATGGGACAGAAGCTATCCACATAATGCTACCACTGTCTTTTTCATGAAAAATGTATAGGTCTGATTTGGACTACATTAATTTGAGAAGAGTAAAATACAGGGGAGAGTATAAGGAAAGGGAAAGAGGCCAGGGGATACAGCACTCATCAGCATAAGGTAATGAGAGGAAGGTAATAAGCTTTTTTGAGCTGACTTTTCTTTCTTGCTTGCTAGAAAGGAACCATCAAGAAGCCCAATTCCCAGTTCAAGCAATACCACAGCAGATTGCCTTGCCTCTCAAATTTCCTTCTACCTAATACACAGCAACAGAATTACACTAACTTTATTAGTAATGCAGGTATTATTGCCAACCCAAGACAACTGTGTGTTGTGAATAACCACTGTGAAAATAAACTTAAACCTTGTTCTACAACAGGGGTCAGCAAACTATCTGGCCCTGTTCAGAGTACGACTGCTAGAGAGAGGACATTTCAATTCCCACTCAACCCTCTTCCCACAAAAATCACAATGCCATGGCTTGGCAAACTTTCTCTGTAAAGGGCCAGAGAGCAAATATTTTCAGCTTTAAGGGCCAGATGGTCTCTATCGCTATTAAATTCTGCTGCTGCCCAAAAGCAGCCAAAGACAATACATAGATGACAGGGTGTGGCTGTGTTCTAATAAAACTTTATTTATAAAGACAGGCAGTAAGCAGGATTTGTCCCGTAAGCCATAGTTTTTAATCCCTATTTAGACAAGTACTAGACAGCAGAAATGTTCTATAGCTTGCTTTCTCACACACTAGTCACTAGCCACATGTGACTATTAAATACTTGAAATGTGGCTAGTGTGACTAAGAAACTACACTTTAAATTTTACTGAATTTTAGTTAAATTTGATTGGCCATACGTGGCTAGTGGCTACAGTATCAGCACTGTTCTACATACTATTCACTGCAGCCTCTTCAAAAAGAGATACAAGCTGTCATCCAATTTACGGCATAGTTCAAATTTTTGCTGTGCAAAATAAAATATTCATGCTTCCAAATTCACAATGAAACTATACAGAACTGAACATGATATTTCTCAAATGTGAGATATCTACATCGAGGCCAAAGTGATCATTTTGGTTTGCAGTGATCTAATAACTGCCTATGAGCCAGTGTCAAGTGCATAGAGGCTGAGTCACATTCATGCCAAGACCCACCCAATCTGGAAGTTGTTTCCTTTCACCTCTGGACACTCTGCTGCACCTTGACTGAGGGCATAGGCCTACTCAATGGCCCCATTAACTCCAAGGCAAATCTAAACCTCCCCACAGACCCAAAAACATATACAAAGACATGGCTTAAAGAGCACAAGAGAAAACATGTAACTCAACTAGACTGCTTTCTCCTACGGTAACCCACATAACATACTACCTCAACACAAAAAATCAGGGAGAGTCACCACATTCTTTGCTATTGTCCACATGCAATTATTTATTTTCTGGCAACTGTATTACTTACATCACTAGTTTGTGTTTTGCCTTTCTTGGCACACTCAAAGATACAATCCAATGACGAAAAGCAAGGAAATAGGATAGTAACATGTATTTGGTTTTCTTTTAAGTATGAATAAGAAGAAATAAACCAACATTTCTTTTAAGAAACTCATACAATATCAACTTTCTTCAATGGGTAAAAGAATCTTGAAAATTGAGGATACGCTTCAGGTAGTAAGAAAGCCCTGGAATCACAGAGAGGGACTTATACAGATACACAGCAAGTAAGGTAGATGACATTCCGACTTTTTTATGATTTTTGATAATACCATTCTAGATCCAACCATTTATTTATGGTTCCCAAATCTAAAAAACTCTGAAAATGAAAAAAAAAAAATTCCAGTGTGCAACAAACTCTTTTGGTGGCACAACCTGACATGAACTAATAGGATGCTACTTATACAGTCTTTATTTATCCTACTTTAGTGTGAGGAATTTTTTTTCTGCACAAATAGTCATATATTTGTTACAGGGTATTGCTGTACCCACACTGGGAGTGTTATGCAATCTGTGATATGGGTCTTACCTTTCCAAGGTCCCTGGAATATCTGATATCCAAAACACATCTGGCCCCAAGGGTTTGGATAAGGGATCTTCTAAAGAAAGCTGTCCAGGTAGGATATTTTCTATCGACTCAATGTCTGCTGCCTGGAATCGTGAAACAGTGCCTTACCTCGGTCTGAAGGATGGCAGCCCTCTGTTCTTTGGCAGTAAGCGACTCTTTAAGCACTTCAATGTGTTGCTTGCAATCTGAATTTTGATTGCTAAGGGTTTCAAGCTTTGTTTGTAAGGCAAGAAGTTCTGACTCCTTCTTTGAAAGTTCCTGCTTCAGTTGATCAATCTGAAACAACAACATTGCAAGAAATTAGAAGCCACACTTTCTACTCTTTATGTTTGAGAACTGCTGATTTCTTTTAATTTTCAATACCCCATGATCATTAATCCAACAAGGCAAGCCATGAGTTTGCTTAAAAAGATGGCCTTGGAAGTTCTTATGGGTCTGGGAAGGCTCTATAAAGGGGGCCAAGAGTATAGAAAACAGGTAAGGTCAGGAAACTGACCTTCCACCCCACTGAGAACCAAAGTTCACAATGGAATGAAGGCTTCCTAGCCAGACCTACTCCTCATCCGTGAAACAACACAGACTATTCACCATGATCCTAAGAAAGGTCAACAGGTTGCTAATAAAGGTAATTAATCCAAGACATACCCTGGTCCTTCTCTGCTACTCCACGGTGGAAATGATCATTCAAGGCAATCATTTGACGAAAAAAGAATCCTTACCCCCACCCAAAAAAAGTAAGCATTAATGGTTTTTTGTTTATATTACATACTGAGAAGACACAAAAAACATAAAGTTACGTAGAGTATAAGGAAAAATAATATAAGAAACATCCATCATTCGAGTTGCCAAAAAAGATCATTAGAATTATCTATGTCCCAATCATTTCTATCTCCTCTCCCCCTTCGGAAATAATTACCACCCTAAATCGTGTGTTTGTGATTTCCTTGCTTATTTTTACATTTATTTTTTGCATTTCAACTTTATTTGTTCTGTGTATTTTTTTTAGTACTTTGCTTTTTTCTACTCAATCTTATGTCCTGAAGATTAAATCGTGTTATTGTACATCCAATTTATTCATTTTCACTGAAGTACAGAATTCCATTGTAAGACTCCACCACGATTCACCTGCCCATTCTGCTATTAATAGACATTTTGGTTTGTTTCCAGGTTTTTTGCTAGAACAAAAAGTGCTATTCCGGACATTCCTATATTTATCACCCGGCACACACAGCAAAAATGATCTAGGAGTTAAATTGCTGGACTACATAGTATGCACATCTTTAACTTTACTAGGTGACACCATCTATGACTGTCTTCTATTTCATTTCTAATATTCTAATATTCTTACCAGTGCTGTTATACTCATTTCCAGGGTCACAAGCAGTGTGTAAGTATGCCAATCACTCCGCATCTTTGCCAATCTCTCATGTCACCAGACTTCCACATTTTTACCAGCCTGATAGTTGTGACAGATGACCTCCAAAGATGCCTGCCACCAAGTTTTTCCTACTTGTACACACACGCTGTACTCACAACTAGAGGTGGAGTCTGTTTACCCTCCTCTTGAACCTGGGCTAAACTGTGACTAGCTTCAACTAGTAGATGCAGCCAAAGTGTCAGTTCTGGCCCTTGTGTGTAGGAGGACAGGCACATTTAGCCTCCTCCAGCTGGAAGCCGGCCACCATGTTAGAAGTCCAACCACCTTCTGACCATCATACTGTGAAGAAGCCCGTATCAGCCACATGGACAGGCCATGCAGAAAGACAGAGGCCTAAAAGAAACTGTGGCTCCTTCATCTTGTTCCTGGGCTTAAAGGGAAGAATTTCAATGTTTCATCATTAAGTTGGATGTTTGCTTTAGCTTTTTATAGGAACTCTTAAGTTTCAGAAAGTTCCCTTTTATTACAACTTTGCCAAGAGTTGTTTTTTTTTAATCATTAAGGAATGTTTAATATTAATAAACATTTTTTCTGCTTCTCATGATTTATCACACTTTTCACCTTTAATATGTTATTGTAATGAATTACATTGATGGATTTTTAAAATGCTCGGCTCTCCTTAACAACTATGAAAAACCCCACTTAGTCATGATGTATTATATTTTTTATATGTTACTGGATTCAGCTTACTAATATTTTGTCAGGATCTTTCATCTATGTTTATGGATAAGACTGGTTTGTAATTTTCCCATTTGATGCTGTCCTTGTCAGGTTTTATTACCAATTTTGCCTTCTAAACGGAGTGCTCACTCTTTTAATGTGTTCCGAAATGGTTTGTGTAAAACTGAAATTTTCTTCCCATTAACATTCATTAGAAATCACCAGTAAAACCATCTACAGCTGGTATTTTCTTTCTCCAAAGACTGTTACTTACCTCATCTATCTAATGGTTATAGGAATAGTCGTGTTTATAATTATTTCAGTCAATTTTGGTAAGTTTTTTTCTCCTAAGAATTTTTCATTTTATCTAAATATTCACCTTTACTGAGCAGGAAATTTTCATAAAACCCATTTATCTTTCAATACCTATGGCATCTATGACTGTCTTCTATTTCATTTCTAATATTCTTTAATTTTATTCTCTTTTCCTTGATGAGGCTCAGCAGAGGCATGTCATGTTCAATAATCTCTTCAAAGAGCCAATTTTGGCTATGTTGATCATCTAACATTCTTATTTTCTTTCTTTTTTAAAGATTTTATTTATTTACCTGAGCGAGAGAGCGTGAGAGAGAGAGATCACAAGCAGGGGGGAGGAGCAAAGGGAGCCTGATGTGGGGCTCGATCCCAGGACCCTGGGATCACGACCTGAGCTGAAGGCAGATGCTTAACAGACTGAGCCATCCAGGCGTCCCAAACATTCTTATTTTCTATTTCATTAATTTGTGCTCTTATTTTTAAAATTATCTCCTTCCTACTACTTTCTTTGGGTTTATTCTATTTTCTTTTCCTAACTTTGTAACTTGGATACTTATCTCACTAATTTTCACTCTTTTTTCTTTCCATATGTCTTAAGACTATAAATGTCCCTGTCAGTATCATTTTAGCTTGATGCCACTAGTTTGATATGTAGTATTGACATTATTGTTCCATCGTAAACATTTTCTGATTTCCATTATTATCTATTCTTCAACTCACAAATAATTTAGAAGTATGCTTCTTACTCTACAAATACATGGATGTTTCCTAGCTATCTTTGTGTTTTTTCTTGCTTGTTTGCTTTGTGAATAGAGAATAAGGTCTGTTTGATACTAATTATTTGAAATTGGTATCTTGCTTTATGACAGAGTATGTGATCAGCTATCATAAATGTACTTTGTGTACTGTGTGCTAGAAAAGAATTTGTATCCAAAAATTATTGAGTGCAATAGTCTATATTTATTGGCTTGAAAATGGTTTCCTTGCCATAAAGTCTACGACAGCTTTCTCACAGTTAATATTTGGCTGGTGTGTCTTCTTTCACTTTCAATGTATCATTAACTTTATGTTGTAGATGTCTCTTGTAAATAGCATATACCTAGATTCTTTTATCCTGTCTGATAAAATTAGATGGAGCATTTATTGTCATTGCAGATATATGTGATTCTATTTCAACCACCTTACTTGTGCTTTCTAAATACACTGCCATTTCTATTTCTTCTCTTTTCCTTCTTGCCTTTTGAATGGCTTTTTTTCCTATTCTATTTTTTTGCCTCTACTCATTTAAAAGTTATACCTTTATTTATATTTATTTTATGTTTATTTCATTCATTTCTAATCTTTAGGTTACTACCTAGAAAATATAGCATGCTTACATTTTTAATTTACCTAAGTCTAAAGTCAATCTATGCTTACATTCTTTCTGAATAATAGAAGGATCTTGAGACACTTCAAGTTCAGCCACTATCCCCTTGACATACACATTATTGTCATGTATTTCATTTCTTCCCTGTTTTGTTTTTAACTCATCATTACTTTTTTTTTTGCTAGCTATTTTTTTTTATTTATTTATTTTTTTATTCTTATGTTAATCCCCATACATTACATCATTAGTT